AGAATTGTTGGAAATTATTATAGGATAATGATTGCTATCAAAGAGATCGTCAGCTGTTTGCCAGGTTAAAAAAGGTGCAGATTTAGGGTCACTAATACTAAGATCTATAGCAGAGAAAGATCCAGATGAAATATTAAAATGAGTGTTAGATCCTGTGTTAAGAAGACATGAGTTTGTGCAGTTAATAATATTTTCAACTACTTTTCCCCTTCCAAATGTGGATTGAGAACCCCACATAACGTTATGTGCATTGAAGTCTCCTGTGAGTATAAACGGCTGTGGAAGTTGGAATATAAGGTCTAGGAGCTCTTCTTCTTTTAGAGAATGGTTTGGGGGAATATATATGGAGCAGATGGTTAGTTTATTAGGGCAATATGTAGTTATGGCAATTGCCTCAAGATTCGTTATTAATGGTAGCATTGTTGAGAAGATTTCGCTGGACGCAAATATAGATGCACCTCCACTGGCTCTTAAGCAGTTCGTTCTAATGAAGTGGTATCCTTCAAAGGATTTAAGATGAGGAATATTCGTTGTATTAAAATTAGTCTCTTGGAGACAAAGAAAATCTGGATGGTAAATTGATATAAGATATTGAATGTGTTCAAGGCGCGGATAGTATCCGTCGCAGTTCCATTGTAAAATAGTGAATTTGAAAAAAATTTATTTGGTTAGTAATTTTAGAAAGGATCGATATCATTGCAGTTAGAGTCACATGAATTATTGGACGTAAGGCTGGTAAGTTCGTCAGCGTCTATAGAATTTAATGTGCGTTTTAGCTTTTTCGTTATTCTTGTAATGCGATTTTTAAGTGATCTATCGGATACAGTTTGGTATATTTGAGTAAGATCTTCGAGGAGAGAATGAATGTTCGTGGTGAAATTATGAGCTTCTTTGAGGGGATCACTACTTCCAAAGGAATTTTCTAGGAAGGCAATTATTTGTAATGCTGATAACGAAAATTTTTCTGGATTCGCACAAATTAATTTTTCAATACTTGAATGGGCACATAGACTAATTTTACAAATTTCTTTGTCATCAGTTTTTGTTTTCTTTTTAGGAGCTGATTTAGGAGTTGCGAAGGTTGTTGTGTTTGGTGTGTTATTAGAGTTTAAGTTTAGGGGGCTAGCGGTAACCAGTAGAGAAGGTGATTCAAGACTTGTGTCAGTGGAATGAGTTCTTTTTATGCCAGAGTTAGAAGGGACAGATAATGGTGTTATAGACTGTTCATTTGGGGTTGTTATGTCAGTAGGTGGGTTATTTGAATAGATTTCTTTTTTTGTGGAGGGTGAAAGAGGAGATATACTAGAATGAGGATCGACTGGATTTTGGCTAGAAGTTGTATTTGGAGAGGGATTGCTAGATATTTCTTGAGGGTTAGGGCAGGAGTCTGCAGTGTGTCCAGATTGCTTACATAAAAAGCATTCAAGTTTGTCCGAAGTAATAAAGATCCTATAATTTGTATTTTCATATGAGATTACAATTGAAGTATTTAACTCAAAGTATTCTTTATTTGGTATCACAAAGACTGAGCGTCGAAAACTGAAGATGTGAGCATATTCGTCTTCCGGAGAACTACAACGGATATGCGAGATAGGGGAAGCAAGTTGTAATCCAAGTTCATTTTTAAGTGCTTGCTCTATGAGTGCATTCGGAATCGAAGGACACACGTTAGAAAGTAGTAGCCTCTTTGCAGGAGTGATAAGTCTACGAATAGATATTGTTTGATTTCTAATCGAAATAGTAGGATTATTTTTTAGAAGATTATCTACTACGGTTACGGAAGAAAGATAGATGCATATACGTTGATTAGAAATACGTGAAGCAAAGGTTATTTCTTTAGGGGTAACAATTTCGCCGATTGCCTTTATGTAATCAAATAGTACTACGTCTGGGATAGCGTTCATAACAATGGCTTGAGTTCTACTAGGACATGATGTTGCTGTTGTAGATTTTTTCTGTGTTATTTTGGTTACTGTAGCGAAGCTAGGTTGAGCTGTTTGTGAAGATGATGCCATATTTGATTTTAATATTTTGGATGCCAAAATATTAAGTATGGCCAAAAACGACTGGCCTAATTTTATTTGTCGAAAGTATTAATTTAACTGATATCGACTTACCAATATTTGCTTGATAAACAATCACATTAAACTAAACAAGTTTTTATTCAAAATACTATTAGTAGGAAGCCCGATGTTTACTCGTTGGCTTCTGAAATAGGAATGACTTAAGTTTATTAAAATGTGTAACTTAAAACTTTAGTTAGGCTCGTTAGCTCTGTTAAATCGTCAAGTGTTTTACCTTTTTACCTATACTTTCTGTGGTCTACACTTTCTGTCTGTGAGTCACCTTGAATGGCCCCTAGGTGCTAAGTGAAAAGTAATCCTAGTTCCTCTCCCATTGTAATTCTTCTTTTAATTTCCAGAATTTTAGTGTATTTAGTTTAGTTAGATTAGGTTATTAAGTGAACGTTATTACACATTTGCTGTTGGCTGGATGGGCACTTAGTCCGATTGCCAATAAAAAAAGTCCATTGGTAGAAAATATTGTTAACTGAACATTTTAACGAATAAAATTGCCAACATTGGGTTTATTTATATTTAAAACTAATTGATTTGCATATGAAAAAATCATAATTTGTTTAAACAAATACAGATTCTTAAAAAAAAATAGAAGCCTTGATCCTCCTGTAGCCTTAGTTTGAATAATATCAAGGTAATTAATTTAATAAAGATTCTTTGGCAGATGAATATACTATGGAACCGTAATCTATGTTAGAGATTATTATGGTTTTATACACATGGATTAGCCAGTTACAGTCAAGTCTATAGTTTTTATTAGAGAGAGTTTCCATAAGATTGACCAGTTTTGTTTCTAAAAGGTTTTTTACTAGAATAAAAGTTTCTGCAGGACGGGTACTAGGAAAGAGATTTTTTACGTCAAATTAAATTAATCTGGAGTTGGTAGGTAATTGAAAATGTTGTATTTTATTAACAAGTTCTATTGTATTTTTTATGGTGAATTTAGGTGAAAATTTAGTGTGTTCTAAAAGAATTTCTAACAGTTTTTTTGAAAGTTTATATGACGGAGCTCTATAAAAAGAAACAACAGGTCTTATTGGGTGATCAGGTTTATGTAGTTTAATGAAAGAGTATAATTTAGGAGGCTGTGGGTTCATGATATTGAGGTATTTCTGTTCTATTGGATTTACTATTGATTTTGAATTTTCTAACGCTAGCTTAATTTGTTTTTGATATTTTTCTATCGCATCTTTTTGTAACGTTTCAATATTTTGATTATTTAAGAATTCTATTGTTTTGTTATTATATTCTATTTTATCTATAGCAATAGCAGTGTTACCTTTGTCTGCTTTTGTAAACACTATGTTGTTTTCTATTGATTTATTTTTAATTGAAATTGTCGTTTTATTCTCTTTGTAACAGGAATTTTTAGTTTCACTACACATATCTGTAATAGATTTGGCAATTATACTTTTTTCGATATTGTTAGTAGTTTTTTTAACGCTACTTTACATTCTACACCTAAATATTTTAAAGTTCTCTCATTATTATGCATAACTACATCTGCAATTTTACATCTTTTTGAAGTTTGCATAAACCAGGACTACTTTGAATTTAATAATCAAATATATACAAATAACAGTGCAGGACTTATACTGCGCAATCCTCTAAGCCCATTACTACAAGATATTCTTATGGATCATCTAGAGACAAAGATTTCAGAACATCCCGTATTTAAACAGTTTTTATATTGGTAGAGATACGTAGACGACGTACTGGTATGTTTCACTTGAACTAACAGGCAACTCGATCAATTTTTAATGTATATTAATTCACTTTATAGTAATATTGAATTTACAATAGAAACAGAACAAAATCAATCCATAAGTTTTTTAGATTTAAAAATTATTAGACTTAAAAACAAACATGACTTCTCCGTAAATCATAAACCTACCCATACCGACACGACTATACACAATTCATCATCTTATCCAACACAACATAAACTGGCAGCCTATCATAGTATGTTAAATAGATTAACAGAAATTCCGATGTCAAAATACATTTTTGAGGTAGAATTAAATATAATTAAGCAAATAGCAGTAAACGGATACAACAAACAATTAATAAAATGTTAAATCGAAAACTACACAAGAAAGCCCTGAAATAAGTATTTCCACCACTAGAGAAAAAACCCAGTACCTTCAGCTTGATTACATATACAGGCAAAATATCAACAAAAATAGCCAACCACATAAGAGAGAAAGGAATAACACCAGTTTTTCGAACAAATAACAACCTAGGCAAATATATTACGGTGGTGTGTACAAACTTAAATATGCCGACTTCTAAAACTAACATCGGTCAAACTGGTAAAAACTTTAATAAACGAATAGCAGAACATAAAAGGGCTTTTAATAATAGAAAAACAGACTCTACAGACGCACTTTGCCTTCTAGATCATAATCATTCTTTTAATTACAAAATTCTTCACATTCAAAATAAGGGTCTTAAGCTATCTTTGTTAGAATCTATGGAAATCAACAAATTAAAAAACACAGATATAATTCTGAATGACCAACTTAAGACAAACAGTTCTCTCCTCCTCAACCTATTTCATTAGAGACTATAAAGTGTAAACGCATGTCAAAAATAGATCACTTAGAAAGATCACCTAGAAAGGCAATCAGTCGAAACAGCTGTAGTGATAATAGTTTAAAATAAATTTTGTGGCATTTTGAAAACAAAAATTTTTTAGTGTTTTCTTGTTACATTTATTTAAATAGTTTAGTAACGGTTATAAGGCTTTTGTTTTTGATAAATTCTTACATTAGGTGTAATCTATTAACTTCAAACTACAGTTTTAGTAAAAATGTTCGGATAAACCCTCAAAACGTTTTTTTCATCTCCTAAAAACTGTCCGAATGTGACTTGAGTTGTTTCTGAAATAAGCGATTCAATTATTAAATAAAAAATACTTACTTGTAATCGTATATAATTGATTCGACCGGAAATACTACGTCGTCCTTTCTTTCTTTTATTTTGTTTCTTATCCACCGATCAAACTTAACTCTACCAGCATAGTCGCAAGTACATCCAATGCTCCAAACTACAGAGAATATAATCCAAGGTACGATGAGACCCTCTGTCAATAAAAACAATAATTAAAACGGTAATAGGTAATAAAATACGGTAACAAAATTAATACTGTTCGTCGAATAAACAAACCGAAAACTGAAACTTTATCGAATATGAGAAATGAGAAATGAGAAATTGAGAATTGAATATGAGAAAAAAAACAAAAACTGATTTTAAGGATTTTCTGTGACCAAATAATATTAATACCATACAGGGTGTCCCATAATTAATTGGACATTAGCTAATGGGTGATAGCTGACATCAAAATAAAGCGTTTGAGCTCAAATTGCTTAGGAAAAATGTTGATAGTTTTCGTTCTACAGGGTGATTCATTAATATTTTTTTATATTATTTTTAGGGGTATATTGAAAACTATTCAACCTATTAAGTAAAATTTGGTATCTTGCTATTATTTAGTATGCTTAATATGAAAATGATATTAGTTTTACCGATGACACTGGGTGGCGCCACCTACTATAACATTGGTTCATTAATGGGGCCATAATTTTTTTCCCGCCCTGTATAAACATTCTAGGAAAAAAAAAATGAAATAACATTCAATTCTAAACAAAAAAGGTATTCTTGTTTTAAATTAAAAAAGTACACCGTTTTCGAAATAAACGTATTTTTTAGAGACGTGCATAAAATAAAAAAAAAATTACAAAAACTTCAAATTCAAACTGTAAATTCAATTATTCAAAAGGTCTCAAATAAAAGTGAATATTAAATGTATTCTGCCGTCCTAACATGAAAGGTCCTATCTGCAAAATTTAGGTTTTGAGAAAACCAAGTTTTTGTTTCTTTTCATTGTATAACGCTTGGTAATTTAAAAAAGTCTTTATGTTTTATTTTATATATTATGTCAGAGAATAGAATTTAATTGCTAGTCAGAATTTTGTTTTATTCTTTCCAGATTAGTCGATTTTTGATTAAATTGTCACTTAGGACAATTTAGCTTAGTGTATCTGAAGTACGTTTTTTTGTATAACTTACTGAAATTGTCCTAAATAAAACTAAAATTCAAATTAACTGAAAACTTTTAATTTTATTATACTAATTTTTAATTAACCTTAAGAAGGCATTTGACTGGGTTAAACTAAAATACTTTATCCGCTTACTGTACGCAAGAGAGATACCTCCAGGAATAATCCAAACGATCAAAAATATCTACCAGAAAAACACAATAAAAGTAAAAGTAGAAGAAGAACCAACCGACCCCATTGTAACTGGCAATGGGATAAGGCAGGGAGATTCTATGAGTCCTTTATTATTTAACCTGATTATGGATAAAATAATAAAAAAGTAACTAAAAAAGGATACCAAATGGTAGAAAAACAATTAAAAATAATCTACTATGTAGACGACGCAATACTGATCTCTCAAAGTGAAGATGATTTACAACTTATGCTGCACCAATTTAATATCATCGCCAGAAAAATGTTAATTTCCCCAAAAAAGACAAAATGCATGCTTAGAACAACAAATTTACTAAGATGTAAATTGGAGCTGGAAGGTAAGATAATAGGAGAAGTGATGGAGTTTAAATATCTAGGCATCACATTATCTAGCTACAGAAAGCTCAAAACTGAAGTGGAAGATCAAGTGAATAGAGCAAACAGTGCCGCATGCTGCCTGAATGAAACAATATGAAGAAATAAAAATATCGGAAAAGAAATGAATGACAAAATTTACAAAACAGTCATCAGACCAATAATGGCATACGCAGCAGAAACAAGACCTGACACAGAGAGGACAAAAAGGATGTTAGAAACAGAAGAGATGAAAACACTTAGAAACATTGATGGCAAAACACTATGGGATAGAGCTAAGATAAGATACAGAGTACAGAGATACAATGGATATGCAAGGTGAGGTACATCAGACAAAGAAAGAATAAGAACTGTGTAAGAAATAGAAGAGTAGAATGGAACGATCATACAAATTAACATCCTAATATATTTATGTAACCTAAATGATAATAGTTAGATTCGAAACTAGAATCCGACTCATTTTCATTTATATTATTGTCGAATTTATTGGACATCCCAGGTGCATAATCTGGATCATTCTCGCTTTTGGCTAAATACCATACCTTTACACCTATCGCTGTTCTAGCTACGACATCCTGCATTGCTACAACCAGAAAATATAGACGCATGTGCGTCTATATTTTTTGCTACTACTACAAACAATAATTACGATCAGTTATTTCTTATACCTAAGGTAACATTATTAAACTTACCCTTCATCCATTTCTCACAATATATTTACTTAAAATACCAAAAAGCATGAGAGTATTCCCAATGTCTGACAAGAACAAATACCCTTTTTAATTAATTATTTGAAGGTATGTTACACACATGCTTATATCATACTAGGCAAAAATTGTCCTAAATGATGCCGCTCAGTATAAAATACTAGCTTAAATAGTCCTAACTGCATTTTTAAAGTCAAAACGGACAATTTTTCTTAGTATATGTGAGATATTACAATTTATGTTAGTGAACATGGCTTTTTAGTCAGTTAGGACAAACCTTTTAGGTATATAATAAGGCACTTAAGACGCTTATAGGAAGGACAATTTCATTTTGTACATACATAAATAATATGTTTACGAATGCCGTGAGCCAATAAAGTCATTTTACCAAATTTTGCAGATAGGACCTTTCATATTAGGACGGCAGTATTAGTAGTAGAAAATTATTGCAAAGAAAATGCATATGATTGAAACAATTATTTTTGTTAAACCTTTGACTCAGTAACAAATTTTAAAAAAATCAGAAATTAAATTAAACAATGAAGTGAATATAAAACAATTATCAAGTGAATAATTCAAAACGAAACGAAAAAAAATTACAATAAGTGTTCAATAAGTGTTCAAAATGTGCACCATTAGATAAACTACATAATCTAAATCTTTAGTGTAAGTTTTGTCTTATTTTAAATAATGAGTTTCTTTGGGCCCTAATTACGTTAACTCCCTCTACAGTATTTTGCCATAACTCTTGATGGTTATTTATTTTTTTTTTTATAAACAAGTGACTTTAGGTAGCCCTACAAGTGAAAGTCTAGGGGATTTAGTTCGGAACTGCGTGCTGGCCGTGGGTATACACTACCTCTACCAATCCACCTTTGAGGATAAATTTCATCTAGATAATTTCTAACTTCTAGGCTATAATGTGGTGCACCATCATGCATGTACCAAGAGTTCCGTCTCAAATTTAGAGGTATGTCTTCTAAAAGAGTTGGTAAATCTTTTTTCAAAAAATTAAGATACGTAACTCCGTCAAGCCTAGTTGGTAATTCGAATGGTCCTACAATACAATCCCCAAATATGCCACACCAGATATTTATGGAAAACTCGTGTTGAAAATGATGTTCTTGAAATGCATGAGGATTTTCTGTCGCGTAGGTATGGCTATTGCGCCAGTTAAATACACCCCTTCTAGTAAATGTGGCTTCATCGGTAAATAAAATTTTATTATAAAACATTGGATCATCTAAATGCCGCCCCATCATAAACTGACTAAATCGGAGACTTGCTGGAAAATCCTGTGGTAAAAGATTCTGTACTGGAGTAAAACGATACGGATACAGATTTTCTGTCCGTATTATTCTTGACACCGTAGATTTGCTTATACTAGTGGCCTCAGAAACAAGCCTTGTACTGGTTTCTGGATCTTCTACAACACGCACAACAATTTCATCCTCCATATCCGCATCAATTACTCTCGGTCTTCCAGCATTCCTGTTTTTGGAATGAAATGACCCTGTTTTGCCTAATCTATCGAACAATGATCTAATAGTTTTATGGTTTGGTTGCCTTCTATTGGGATAAAGTTCGAAATAGAGTTCAGCTGCTTTACGAGAACAAAAATTTTCCTGGGCATACAAACAGATCATATCGCGCATTTCTACATTGGAAAATTCACTATGACGTGGCATTTTTCCTTTATCTTAAGTGGATTATAAAAAACTTAATAGCACTTTGACAAATAATGACTCGCACTGCACTTTGACAACTAATAATAAATAAATACATAGTTACCTTTGACAACTAATAATAAATAAATTCGTAGTTACGTCTTGACGTTGTCATTAAGTTCAAAGCATACTTGTTTTGCAAAAAATTAAATAGAGACAGCATCATTAACAAAATACGTTTATTTCGAAAACGGTGTACTTTTTTGATTTGAAACACCTTTTTTGTGTAGAATTGAATGTTATTTCATGTTTTTTTTCCTGGAATGTTTATACAGGGCGGACAAAAAATTATGGCCCCATTAATGAACCAATGTTACAGTAGGTGGCGCCACCTAGAGTCAATGGTAAAACTAATATGATTTTCTTATTAAGCATACTAAATTATAGCAAGATACCAAATTTCACATAAATCGGTTGAATAGTTTTCAATATATCCATAAAAATAATATAAAAAAAACATTATTGAATCTCCCTGTAGAACGAAAACTAGCAACATTTTTTCTAAGTAATTTGAGCTCAAACGCTTTATTTTGATGTCAGCTATCACTCATTAGCTAATGTCCAATTAATTATGGGACACCCTGTATAAATACACACAACCAAACTTATATGGAATCATCTGATAGTTCTTATTATTTTAATCGAATAACTAAGAATTCAAAGAATATTTATTTTAAAGCAATTATTTTACTTTCTTTATTTACATTTATTTTAGCAGTCGATTTTACTAACTTTAGGCAGGCTCCAATTGTGCTTCTAAACAAACTGTCAAGATTTTATTGTGGTAGATTGTTTCCTTTCTTTAAGAGCATTTTGTACTAGTTGTAAAGTGTTTTGTGGATTATCTCAGCAAGGTATAATTATATTTTAATTATATCCCACTAAAGGCTGATTTATGTTAGGACGGGACGTGTACGACACGGGACGTGGACCAAACGGGTCCCGCACGCGGTTTTGATTTATGCTACAACGGGTCGCTTCAGGCTTCTGCACGGGTTTTTCTAAACTAGTTTTAATTTGCGA